GGATTGTTATTGAAACTCGAGTATTCTGGGCTCGGATGAGGTTGGTTTTCGATAGTAGCTGGAATTGATGAATGGAAAGCGGGGCTTGGCGAAATGCGGGACACTGTGTGAGTCATTAGTGTAAGGCTTTTAGAGTAGGCCTTAAACATACTAACAACTCGGTAGCAAACAAACGTTTCAATTGTTTGTCATATTTATAGCAATGAAACGCACTGTCTTGTGGCTTATTGGTTAGTAGAAAGGTGTCTCCAAAGTAAGCTTTTTGCATTGAATACCCGTAGCGTGTGTCTCTTTGTCTTTGCGGTTAGTCTAATGTTTCATATTTGCATTGAAGTGCTTAACAATGGGGTATTGAACTCAAAGATACTGTAATATCTATTATAAATAATCAACCATTAAAGCAAAGATTTTGCAAGATTACTTTATATTTTGATTTTCTTTATATTATTTGAAATAAAATATAAAATATTACATTGTTCCCCTTTATTTTTAGATATATCTGAAATGCTAATAAACGATTTTGCTACCATCCCAGCTGTTCTTACCATCTCGTTATAAGCATTTTCTAACGGCCATTATCTTAACATTATAATCTTATATTCCCCCTAATCGATCCCCCTGGTCGCCCACACCTGTTCTATCCATTTAACCCGTTAGGCCAATTATGCCTGATAATAAAACTAATAAATCAAGCCGAAATTAAGGCACACTGCACTCGCCGCATTTTTTTTGGAAAAATGTTAACCCTTTTTTCGTTAGAGGCCGCGGCAATATGAAAATGACATTAGCCGAGCGCCAGACCGCGGCTAGACAAAAAGCCAGACGAAACAAAAAGCAGGAAGGAGGGCTGCTGAGCGGGGCTCTGGAAGGCAGTCAGTGCGAATGGGCATTCTCGAGAACACGCAAAACCACTCTTAACTCGTTTACTTTATTTATGGCCATAATTTGTTAGCCAAAAGGTCGAAAACTAAACGCAGAACTCAGCCAAAAAGGGCGCAGCTGGCAGAGGAAGTGGAAACGCGGCAAGGTGCGATGCATAATTAAGATAATAAAATATTAATTAAAATTAGGTTCATGCATATGCAAACAAGGGTAGGGGGAGACGGAGAAGGGCTTACAACGGTGGCGGAGACAAATATTTGCCAGAGTCTCCACGATAATGACGTTGATTAGGACGATGACGTTGCTGTTGATAGCCTCGTTATTGGCGCGCCGACTTGCCTTTAATTAATTAATTAAAAATGCAGAACAAACTTTGTCTTTGTTTTATGCAAATTTTCACATGACCAAAGCCAAACACCTGCAAAAAAGCAGGCTGGGAAATTTAATGCAAATCCCCAAAGGGTTAGATGGCCGCCGGGGATGGCAGCGACGATTTAAGGAATGTCCATCAAAAGTGAGAATAATTTAAAATTTATTCTCTATAAAAAGGGGTATGTCAAGGGACCAATTGTTGAAAAAAATTGAGTAAAAATTAAAACTGTCACAAAGAAATATTTAAGTTTTCAAAAGGCTTAACGTATGTATAAGATAAGATCATAATTTAAGGTAATATGTTCACCTTAAATTTATTTTACAGAGATATATTTTATAGGGTATTCAAAAACTGTCAGTTCGCAAAACTCCGTATCATTTTGGCTAATTTTCGGATTTATTTGGTCAAGTTACCCTGGCTAATGGAAATCCGATGTTTACCTTTAGGCTTAGGGCGTGTTTAAACACAGAAAAAGGCCGAAAAATGTTCGAGATATAACCGCAAAGCGTGAAATCTGATACATTCGTCTTAGACTCTGGCTCTTTGCATAATTTATTTGGCCCGGCTTTCATTATGGTGCGTGTGTTTGGTTTTTGCTTTTTTCCAGAGTGCTTATGGATAATTTTCGGTTCGGGCCAACCGCTTAATCACCTCTACCTGACACATGTGGGCATCTAATTTGTGAATATTTCATCCCTGGGCAATTGGAAATGTCATGAGGATTGGGGCTTGGGGCTCGGATTGAGTTGGAGTTTTTTCGAGTGAAAGCGAAAGCAATCTACGGGTTCGGTAGACCAAAAATATTTGACACACGCATGAGGCGACCCTTGCCCCAATGATTGATGGGTGACCCCGATTCTCCCCTCAGCCAACTTTTTTGTTTCGTTGCATTAATTAACTAATTTAATTTTGAAATTTTTTTGACTGTTGGCATTTAAATCGAGTTCTCATTCCTGAGTTGGAAAATTTATGCAGCCACATATTTTGGGGAACTTTTTTCGCATAGTGATGGAAGGGCTTTATCGCTAGCTTTCACTCATTTCCCACTCCGCCCCTCATTGCCATAATTTACGCATGCCCGGGGGCGTGGCTGGTGCATTTGATGGACCCTGATGGATTTTGACAGGGCAACAGGGGTGGTGGAGAAGGGGGCCGAAATAGCCAGATTGGCACCATAAATTCATCCGCCCGGGCATTCTAAAATGTTTCACAATTTTCGACGCGTTTCGGACGTATTTATTTGCATTCCTAATGATGTCCGGTCACAGATATTCCCACTCCCCCAGCTCCCAACTGTCCATATAGAACGTCAAACAATCAATTTTTAGTGGATCTCCGGTCATTTCGATATGGACACGAACATAATGTTGGTGCTTGGGCTCTTTTCCTATCATTATGATGAATGCAATTTGTGGCTGACAAATGGACTAATTTTGCATAGCCTAAAGGATTTATGGTTATTTTGTTCGATAGGAAGGATGTTTATGGTGGATTCTTAAACGGTATGAGTATGAATCGAATCATATATTCTACTTATTTTCAAAAACACAGAAAAAGCTACGTTTTTTGTTTTGAGTCCATGTCGCCATTTATTTGCAAATATTTTTATGCAACCTGACATTTTTTACCTGCCTGTTATTTTTGGCAAAAATATTTCATAATTTTCGGTCTTTTTCCCGATGCGCACCCAATTAAATTTGTGAATTTCTGCAAGAGCCAAACCAAAACATTTCCGACCAAAAGTGGCCGACAAGAGACAATGACAAGGATGTCAACGTTGCCGCCTTTTTAAAACGCAAATTCCATGAAAGCAGTCAGCATGTCAACGTTCTGGTAGCCGTGTCTGGACCAGGTCCCCCAGTTGATAATACGAGGGGCGCGAGCGGGGCCTTAGAAAAACATGAAAAATTTAAACAAGCCGGCGAAGACGAACATCCAACATCCAACACTGGGATCGGTTCGCTCTGTGTTTTCGTCTGTCTGCAAAAATTGCAAGTGACAGGCAATTCATCATTCATTTGGTTTTAGACTTGACTGACTGACCAGCTTCGGTTCTGGATTGGTCCGGAATTCAAGGGCGATTCAGGAGCAGGGGATTTGGACGGGCAACCCGATTCCACCTCCGTCGAATGATGGGGCGACTCCTTTTTTGTCTGTGGCATGCAATTTTATGGCCAGCAAACTTTTAGCATAGCCATCGCTTTGACAATTTAATGCATTTAAAGCTTTACAAGAGCAGCTCCTAGGCTGCCCAGCACGCAACTTCGACCGCCCATGGCAAATGGGTACAGTGGTTGCGGGAAAGGAATTTCTAATCAGAAAAGTTTATGATGTTACGTAATAAAAAATTGTATACATTTTTGTAGGGGCTTTCCCCGTAAAAATTGTACATATCAATCAATTTTAATGTCTTAGTAAAATCAGCAAGTATTATTAAAAGCGGTTCTAGCACATAATATTTTAACTTATAATAACCTAAAAATTTGTCAATATCCATTAAGATTTTTTTATATTTATTGATACTATTAACTTACCAAATTTCTCCCATAGTTCGGGCCATTACTCCCAAATTGAGCTCTTCAAATGGAACATTTTACTTTGGGATGCAATCATGGCCACCACATCTCCACCCCACTCATTGAACCACTTTTCTGGGCGACGCCACCCACTGTAGCGACGTCTAGTGTTTCGGTCTTTGGGAATTTTAAATTGTTTTAATGCGTGCGTCGAGCATCCTGAGACTGAGAGCCGACCACGCCCCGTCTCGTCGTCTACGTCTACGGATGATGTCGTCAAAAAGGGAGTAGTCCTCTGTCTCCGCCCTCCGCCTCCTGCAGGATCAATCAATTTTTTAGCACACTCGAACCCCGTCTCGTAGCTGATGAAGTGCGGCCTCTGGGACTGGGAGACCGAATCTCAACAGACTGTTTAATATGCAACGAGTGACACCGCCGAGCGCGACGACATTGAGCAACTGCACCAATTTCGGAGGCAGCCAGTGGAGGTGTCTCCTCCTCGCCGACTGCATTCAATCCCATCCATCTTTTGTCGGTTGACTGCAGTTCATAAATTTTTAAACGCTCGCCGGCGCGAACCAAAACAAACAAGTTTCGAATCGCCGCCAGGATGGGGAACGCATCCCAAAACGAGTGAGACAGGCAGATGGACGGACAGTCAGACAGACACGCATGTAATCAATTTTTATATTTTAGAAGAATCCCCCCAAGTGAGGCAGGTGCAGCTCGGCGACCAGCTCTATTATAATTGGATTACCCGTTGCAGTTGAGGCGAACGATAAACTGAATGTTCTCGCATTCTCCTTCCCAGCGAAAAGCGGTCTGACCACGTAGTCTGGCCAACCAGGCGATTGTCTGGGGGGTCCTGGCCAGATCCCAGGCTGATTCGCTACCTTTCTGACTCGGTATTGGCACTTTTCGAGAGGTATCATTTATATGGGTTGCAAATTAAAAGTCACAGAGGGGGTCAAAAAGCGATAAATCCACACTTCAGCTTAATTGCTTATTTAAATAAAATAAGTAAACATGCATTTTGGATATTTATTTATTCAAGACCTCTTTCTTAGATGTACTTTTTGGCATTTATGCAAATTATGCAAAAAATATACTGCTTAAAAATTTAAAAACAATTTTATTAAAATTAGATCAATTTAGAGGGGGTTTTTATATTAGATTTTAGCTGTAGAACAATTTTACTTTTATAGAAGGCTGTGATTTAATTGCTCGGCATGTTTTCCTTTCTGACGAAGCCATGTCGGCCCATCTATTGCCTTTTGTACGCCTCGAAGGGCCAGGATAGTGCCCGGATCCGGTGCCTTCGTCTTCTATTCAGCTTCCTGGTGGGCCTCGCCTTGGGCTACCTCCTCTGGAAGCTGGTGGCGCTGAACTTTAGCCTGGGCCACCTCTTCGCCGACGATCGAACTGACCTAACCGCCTTCACAGTGTTCGTCCTGCTGACTGCAGCGGCCTTCATGGTGAGCAAACCCATTCGCACCGTAATCATGCTGATCTTCGTAGCCTTGGTGGGTAAATCTGGAAGGACTTATCTGCGAGCTGTGGCCTTCGCCTTCATCATATCCGGTCCCATCGACAATCTGGTGGAGAATGCCGGCGAGGTGGCCCGCGTGTTCGTCTGCACCACCGTGCTGACCTACAATCTTTCCAAGACCCGATTCGATTTGATGGCCAAACCGTTTACAAACACGCTGAAAAATATGCGAGGAGATGTGGAGGAGATTCGACAGACTTTTACGGAGCTCCACGGAGTCCTCGGTGACCTGAAGTACGCCGTAGAGCATTCGGACATCGAGGACGAAAAGTACGGGGACAATAAGACCCTCTTTGGAAGATGGCCCAGGGAGTCGAGAAGAATGAATATAAGTGCACCTGGAGTGGAGGGCAAGGAGCTGCCCACCTCGGCTGAGGTGCAGGAGCGTTTCCAGCGGAACATGAGGAATCGCTGCAAGCATCAGCTGCGAAGTGGTCATCGGGTTTGCATGGAGGTCTTTCGAAAAGGCTACCGCAAGTGCACTACCAACTTTCCCTCCCTCATCGGGAAGGCCGTCTGTTGGCCCTACCGGGTGGACATCATCTGCGAACTGGACCTCTTTGGCAATCCGGACAAGATATGCGACCCATCTGAAGTGGTGCCCCGCAATTTCGGTGAGACCTACCTGGAGCTGCTAAAGGCCGAGCGGGAGCTCTTCGTCAACAGCTCACGGATAGAGGTGAACTACGAGATCAAGGACGAGGAGCTGGCCAAGAGCAAGCTGAAGTCCGCCGAACGGACAGCGGAGGCTTTTACCTCGGACTTTGAGCGCCGCAGGCTCATCTTCAATCGAGTGATGGGACTGCTTCAGAAGATCCTGTGCCTGTTCATACTGCGCATGATCTACATGTCCATCAGCTACTATTGGAAGTATCTCGGCGATGTGGAGTTCGACAACTTCTACATCACTGACTACTTCAAGCACATCGATCAGCGGCGCAAGGACTCGCGCAATGATGCCATCCTGCCCCTTCGCACCTACGAAAAGTCCTTGTATATTGATTTAGATCGCATTTTCAGTCGGACCCACGAGGAGTCCACCACGGTGTTTTTTAGCCTGCTTCAGTTTCTGCTGGAAATAGTGACGGCAGGTCTTTTTATCCTCATTGATCACTTGGTGGTCGAATTGATGCTAATAATTCGCCATCGATCGATGATCACTTTCCACCAGGAGGGCCAGCATGAAGTACGATTTAATGTGAGTTTAACTTAAGTTTTTAATAAATATATTTTACTCTGACTTTAAATATAGATCAGTGGCGTGGGTCAAATGGCGCGACTGCTGCGAACCACCATGCACAACTTCAACATCCACGAGAGGGTCTCCACTTCGCTGACCAACGAGGAGTGCCTGCCCAATCCCCATGTTCTGCCCCGGATATTCTACATCCAGCTCTTGCTCCTCTATCTGCTAATCGTAGTGCTGATCTACCAGAGCACAACCTTTCTGCGTATGCGACGCGTGATCTGCAGCTTCTTTTACTATAAGCGGGAGAAGCAACGCATCCTATTCCTGTACAATCGCATTCTGCGGAATCGCCTTAGATCGCTGGAGAATCTGGTTCACGATGCCGAGGATAACTTGGCCACATATCGCATTCAGCAGCAGGTTAATGTCTTCCTATGGCTACGCTTCTCGTGTCCCGCCGCCTTTGGTTGGCTGCGGCACTTCAAGTGCGCCAAGCGGACCTGCCTTATTTGCCGCGGATTCGAGGACTCCACCTTCACCTTCTGCCATATCTGTGGACTGCCCTATTGCGACGACTGTGCCGAGGATCTCAACAGTGTGTGCCTGCAGTGTGGCACTGTGCTCACGAGGATCCTGGAAGAGGAAGACAGCAGCGTGGAGGTGTATGCCTACAGGAAGGAGAAGTAATATGGTCCTTCAAGCCGGATTACTTTTGATTACATTCCTTCCATTGATCCATCAAAATAAAGCCATAGATGGGTTAAATGAATTTTCTCCTTCCGTATGCTGAATTTATAAAGCCTTTTAATGACATTACAAAAGTTTACCTCGTATGTGCCAAAAACTTTTCCCTTTGAATACATTCCTCCCGGGGAATACTTTGCAATCATCTTCGGAGAAGTCGGTCCCTCAATCCCACTGGCACTACCCTTTATTAACTGTCCTTCTGTATGATAATCATATCTTCAACCTAATTGCCATTTTTCCAGTCTGTCAAACTTAATTCCCAACATTTCACCCGGCAGCCACTCCCCAACTATTTCCTTGGCCGATGGCACTGTCTGCCAGTTGTCTACTGTAAGTTGGAGAGCCTTTCTTTGGAACAACAAGCATCGCTCAATTAGTTGTCCACCCTTTTGCCTGTTGTCTGGGCCACCCTAAACTCCCTCCGCCTGCCCCAGCATAATTATGCACATGTCTGGTGGAGCTGGAAAACTTTTTGTCCTTAGACAAACTTTGCTCAAGCGGCGCTGATTCGATTATGCCACTGGAAAGCGAGCTGGAGAGCAGGCATTTCGGCATTTCAGCATTTCAGCACTATGAACTACACTCGGCTGCAAGGATTAAGTTACAAAATTGTTAATTAAAAATAATAAAAACGCTAATTGAAGAGATGCCTACAGGAATGTGGAAACTCCTTTGTAACAAAAGTTTTTCGGTTGAAAATTGTCTAGACTTTTTGGGATCAGCCAAGGATGATGGGTAAGTGGGGGTGGGGAAATGCTTTCGGGCACTTTCCTCGACGACCATCTGGGATGAAACAGTTGCAACAATGATGACGACAAAGTCTCGCCCACGCCCTGCTCCACTTTTAATATTCATAAGTCTCTTGGCCCCTGCGTCGTCTGCCTGCAATAAAAAATTTATGCAAACATGGGTGAAAGAACCACAAACCAAAGGAGCTGCGTCTTTCCATTGAAATTTCACACATTTCGCCGGAGAAGAGAGACCGAAAAAATGCGCAAAATATTCTTACGAAAAACAAATACCTCGTAGGAGGCGGAGGCGGAATCCACATTCAGACTGGTAGACTGGTCGGCATGCCGTGTGCAAAGGTGATTATTTGACGTTCACACCTTGTTGCAGGGACTCCCTCCCTTCCCGCTTTTCCCGCCCTTCAAGATAATGGGGCGAGGTCGTCGACGCTCGTCGGCGGTTGTTGTGATCAGCCACAGAAGTGACAGGTGTGACACTCCGCCCGACAGCGGCTCCCAGAACTCCAATCCACTCCACTCTGCCATCTGCACGGCCCAGGCTATGAAGACGCAACTAGACGAGACGAGACACTGGTGGTTGCTATAAAAAAAGCTGAAAAAACCATCGGAGAATTATTTCCTAGAAAACTGCAGACGGATGGTTGAACGAGCAGTGTAAAGACCAGCAAACGTAAAAAAATGAGCGAAAACTGGAGCTGGGAGTGCAACATCGACCCCAGAATACTCTTCATAAGAAATAGTTCTGAGCAACTCCTTTAAAAAAATGTACACTAAGAAAGCTAAAAAAAAATAATTTATTCTTTCCTAAAAATCCCTAAAGATTTATTTTATTCACGGCAGAATAAATTTCTTTTGTGTAATATTATACTTAATTTCCCTATTAAATAATTCCCAAAATATAGTGAGCATGTCTATAGCTCTTGTACACCATTTACAAATGGATAGCCTGCAAAAGTGTAGTGCCAAGATTCAGAGTCTAAACGAGAATGGCCAAAGTGCTGAAAAATAATCGGGCTGAGTCCCACAACTGCCTTTATCATCACGGGCTCAACTTGGCGTTGATAATGAAGGAAGCAGAACGATGGCCCACGGATGGCTGGATGCTCGCTGGTCAGTGCATTGTTTCTTTCAATTTTTTCCACAATGCTTTTCCAGCGGTTTGCCTGCAATTTGCGAGTCCCCAGTCCCAGGGACTGTGATTCGGAGCCGGAGTGAACTATTTAGCAAAGGGAGCCAGGGGATCCGTTCCATCCGTTCGCGGAGCAGCAGGTGGTAAAGCGTAGAGAAATATGGTGCGGAACATTTCAATTAGAAAAAAACAAAAAAAAAAAGAGACGCGGCGAAAAGGCAGACTGAAGAAACCTCGGACCGACAGCCTGTCGTCGCCCCCAATCAGTGGGGGCCCCCCGTCCATATCCATTCAGCGTCTCCCAGTTCCATGGAATATTCCCCGCCTTTGAAGTTGTGCTCGCCTGACACTGACGAACCGCGACTGGCCGTACTCCCTCCCCCCGCCCATCTGCATTGCCTGCTATTATTTCAATAAAAATTCTTTAATATTATTTTAAGTTTGTTATGGCAGGTTAGTTTGTTCTCCAACCAGCACCAGCCATTCCGCTTTGTGCTCGTATTTAATCTTTATAATTAAAATTTTAGCAAAAACTGAGGTGGGCGCCCTGGGTGCGAAGAAGCGCAAACGTGTTAAAAATTGATTAAAGTAATTGATTTGAAAGGTCTGGCGTTGAGGGGCTTTTGGGCTTTCGCGGATTATTCTTTATTACTCTATACCTTCTCGGGTTTTTATCCCTTTGTTTTATTCGCCGCAGACAGCCAACTCAATTAAAGCAGTGAGCGGTGTTTGCCTTTATTTATATAAAATTTATATTCGAATTTATTGAGCACATAAAGAAAGATACATTTGCGATGTGATGAGTGTAGACGTTATAAAAAATTAAATCTGATAAAATAAATTTGAGCTCTTCTTGGGCATTGCCATTAAATTGAGGTGCCTATATATTTATCACGAAAAAGAGTATCATGATTTTTAAAAATGGATATTAAATAAATATCTATATTAAAGGTGAGTTCTGTGAGCTTGGAATGTGATATCCAACTATCTCTTTGATCTCTACTTTTTCTCACACAGCGCACCGCTAATTGGATTCCGCACATAGCTGAATATGAAACGTAGGAGTGCATTTATTTCGCTTTCGTACTGAAATCATGTGGCAACCACAACGAAATCTCAGCTTTGTCAAGTCAAACTCCAAACACCAGACCCAATTTTCGCACAGAGTGAAAAGGAGTGTGCGAGCGGAACCCACTGCACCACAAATCTTTCACTCGGTTTTATTCACCCACTTTTTGTATTTCTGTATTTTATTATAAAGCAGCAAAGGAAGGAAAAAAGCGAAACTCCACTGCACTGTGCGTGTTGAACTCAGACTTTTGTGCCAAACATTTTCGGAATGGGCAAGCTAAGGGGTTTGTTGGCTCAGCTCAGCTCAGCTCAGCTAACGCCTTTTCGGTCTTTCACAGCAAAAGCGCGAAAGAGTTAAAAGGCGAAGCACAGAAAGCAGCAAAGCAGCGCAGCACCAAAGCATTTTCACCCTATTATTTCAAGCAATTTCATCAAAACTAGACTGAGGGGCCCGGCCTCTGCTCCAAATTGTAACCGCAAAACCTCCCAGTCCAGCTGCCCAGTTGCTTTTGTCAGCTGGAGAGGAACACGTGACTCACGGGAGATGCGATAGATGCCATCCTGGACCAATGGAACCAACATTTAAGCAATAATAATAATATAATAGTAATACTTTATTAATAAATCCTATATAGGAAGGATGAATCTAAACCATAAACTAACTAAATATAGTACTATATTTTAAATTTGAAACCCTCGTTGTTAATTTTTAAAAAAATATGGTAGGCTTTCTTAATGGAAGTCCAAGTAAACACAGATCATTTTTGGTAATTTGCTTTGTAAAAAGTTTAAAAGTACATGGGTCCCAACTTAAATACCATCTCTAACCCGCTGCGGTTTTGTTGCTTCGCTTCCACCGCTTTTTGTCCACTTCTTTTGGCTTTTGCCCCGTTCGGACCGCCATCCTCCTGGTTCTTCTGCCATCGAGTCGTTGGCTGCTCTCAATAGAAGGCAGACAGGAGCAGGTTTTTCTTTTTTCCATCTTTCCAAATGGCCAGCAAACGGACTGTCGACTGTGCCGGCTGTGTTTTTCTTATTTGGTTTCCACTTTTATGTAGATTGGTATTTATTTTCCACGCGAAAACTAGCGAAAAACGTGCAAAAAAAAAACCTTGGCCAGGGAAGCGGCCGTAGTTCTCACACTATGGTATGGTATGGGGTCTGGGGTTCGGTCTCTGGGCCTGCGGTTCCCTAACTCCCCTCATCGCTCTTATTATCGCGTCAAGCGGGAAAACACAATGAAAAAAAAACACAGAGAAACAACCACAGCACCAAGAAAGAAGTGAGTGCAACTATTTTGCGGTCCGCTGCCTGACAAATGGCAGCCAACGCCATCGGAGCATTTAGCCAAAGTCCAACTGCGATTCCAGCTCCAAGTCGGAGCTGCAGGTCTCCGCGGCTGTCGGAAGTAGCACACCAAACTGCCGCCACCGGCCGCCTCTGGGGATCTGAATGTAATGTAGGCCCAGTCTCAAGCTCAGCCATTTACCCTTTACAGCGAATTTCGATCATAAATGTCTGAAGTTCTGGAGATCCCAATGGGCTTTTATACTATAAATTGGATTAGATATATTTTAGAAAAAGTATTAGCATTAAAAATGATTTTTCAGCTTAGATTTAAAACTGGAAGCTTACTAAAATATAAACAGAAATAATTAAAACCCATCTTTCAGAAACCACAAATCTTAAATGAATTTTAAAAGTCTTTCCGGATTGTATCTTATTTTATTTATTAAACTGAATAAGAGCATTCCACATTCGATAAAATTCTTCTCTGCTCTTAAGCTTTTCTTGGCTGCTCCTCTACTCTGGCTTCGTAATTAGATTTAGTTTAGCTCACAGATTTTGATACGTTAATTGTGAATTGTGCAAATACATATAATTGAGCTGGGTGGTTCCCCTCCCATCCGCTAATAGAGCACAGAAATGAGTGCTAGAGTTGGTCTTGCCTGGTTGGTTCTGCATTTTTCAACTGGAGCCTGTCTCGGCATTCCGCTTTAGTTTTGCTAAATTAGCGA